GTAATAATATTATTACAATCGTGCCGGTTTTCGCACCGAAAACCGAAAAACTTTCTGTACGACAACACGTCCGATTGTATGAGGCGGCGTTCCGCAGCCTACGCGGTATTGTATATTATGTTACTCAAGACCGGAGGGATCTATTATATTGTATATCTATACGCATGTTTCGGTGTCAAAAAGCACCGAAAACGAGTAAACAAACTTAATATTTTCGTTTATATATATTATTATACGTGCGGGGCTGACATCTGTTAGTCACTGTATTATATTATATACGTAATAAACTGCGTTTTACTCGAAAAACGAAATTGGGGATTTATTATCATTTTACGAGGAAACGTTTTTGTTCCGTATTGTTTGCTTTTCCGCGAATAAACGCTCTGCGTGTGCGTAACTTCGCGGCTTTTAAAAACAACGTTATAACCGTACGGCGCGAGCAACGTCAAGAGTCAAGGACGAAACGTCGCCGCGGGTGAACTCTGCGCCCGTCTCCATACACTATTAATTATTTCCTGAACCCCTTTGTAATAGATACTCTATTACGAGCTTTCAAATGCTTCGCATTAGACTAGTATTTTAACTACAGCAATATTGTCCGACACCTAACCTTATAACCTAATCTAAGCGAACCCGTGTATCGTGGTGACGGCAATCGTCCATCTTGTTCAAACGAGCTGAGGCGTGTAGGGGCTGCAGAAAACCGGTGAGTAAAAGGCAAAAATTCATGTTGTTTTATAGTGATGGGGCATAAGTTTTTTTTTTTTTTTTTATTAATTTAGCATACACGAACACATGCTAAACGAATATTTTGTTTTAGCGTTAAAATAAATATAACGGTTAATCGCTCATAATCGCGGCAAATTTAAATATAATTTCATCCCTTATAAACCGTGAGGAGGGGGAGAACGAACTTAAAATAGCCTCATACCTATAATCTACCCTGTACCCATCTACCGATATTTCTCAATATTCCCATTATATCTCAATATTTTCACCTATATTTACGGTAGCAAACGAGTACTAATGAGCATATAGTTGTTTTCTTTACTCATTAGCGCTCCGCTCCGTATTATTTGCTTTCAGTATAATTTAATTTAAGCGTTTAATAATATTATAATGTCCATTAACGCCACACGGCTGATATAATGAGTGATACTTAAAAAATTGTGGACAATCTTTCAGTTTTGGATAGAAAAATTACGTGATCATACTATTAAATCCTTAATATCATAATTTTTTTTTTTTTCGAAGAAATAATATTTTTGTTATACATATATTATTATATTTTCGGTTATTTTAAAAGATTTAGAAAACAAATTAATAAGTATAATATAATATATATTTCTGTAAGTATATTTATATATAAAAAAAAAAGTTGGAATCCTTTCAAACAAATACCTAAATAAATCACGTTTTTACGTCAAGTGAATAAAAAAGTTTACGACGAAAAAATATTGCTACTAAAATATCCTTTGACAATATTTTTAAAATAGATCAATAAATTATAATAATGTTATAGATGATACCATCTCGTAAAACTTTTTTGTATTCACATAAGTACCTATAGGTGGGAAGTTGAAAAGGTAGGATAACTTAGTTTATATTCAAAGAGCAACATTATAAATTATTACAAACAAAATACGATTCAGAGTGGATATGAAATTTGGAATTATATACTATTATAGAACTGTCTAATTTTAGAAATCGTTCAGGTTATCCGACAGTGTTACACTGAAATTTGCTCAAAATCATATCTGATTGTATTCGTATTGTATTGGATTTATCTGATTGTTGCATCAAAATTCTTAAACGATGTAAAGAGCATTTATCTAACTATGCGGTAAACAAGTGGATTTTCGAAAGAAACGTGGAATTGTATGTATTTGTTGTACAAAGGTTTTCAATTATTGTTTTATATCGTATATTCGTAATAAACTCGTACGTGACGAATTAAAAATACTCGGTTAAAGATATAATATGAGTATTATATTATGCAAATTTTGAAAGCATACATACGGCGTGATAGTTAAATACGTTTCGGCGTTTTGAGATACAACTAAGAATTCACGAAATAATATTTGTCACACACCCGCTAATTAGGTATAGTAGATCCTCGTGAATATTATACATATGCTTAGACTGTACAGCAGCGCAAACAAAATAATTGTGTTTTATTTCAACTTTTAATAATTAACCACGTACTTACATAAATAATAATATCAAGCTGCCTCATCCTTAAATCTGAACTTGTTATCTTCTCCTTCTGGGTACAGCGTCTAGATCTGTTACTCTATCTTGAAAAATGTAATATCATGTCATTTACAAGAAGTCGTTCTCCAATTTACCATCCTTGCCACCTAATGGACGATCCTATTGAGCATGTATTTATATTTAAGGATTTCGGTATTTACTAATCTCTCATCTTATGTTTCGAACACTATATTAATGTAATTGTTCTCAAAGCCCTTAAGATCATAGGATTTGTTAAACAAGTCTCAAAAACGTTCTTCTCGGCTAATTTCCTCCCTTTGCTATACTTCAGTATTGTTCGATTTAAGTTAAAGTATGGTGTTGAAATTTGTCACCCGTACCTGGCCAAAGATGAGCTACGACTGGAACAGGTAAAAAGTAAGTTCCTTTCTTATTCAACTTTCATAATAAAAATCGACCACCCTGCACATGACGACTCACTTGTTTGTCAAACTTTAAATATCCAAACGCTTTCTGTTCATCGATTAACTGCTGGCATTTATTTCGTCTCTTCTGAGCGGCTCCCTGAATGCTCCCATTATTTTGTCTAACATCCAGTTCCATGTAACGTGCATTAAATCAGCTCCCCCACTTTTAAAAACACTCAATATTTTATTGTAAATAATTAGCACATAATTAGTAGTAATGGGTTGAAATAATGTTACTTTAACCCCCCCCCCCATATATAAATGGATTTTTCTCGTTGAACGAGTTGCGTACAAATTCCGAAAATGCTCATACTAATTCATACTAATTACGTGGTAATTATTTATAGTAAAAAATCGAGTATTTTTAAAAGTGGGGAGACTGGGGTAATGTACGTTTCGGTGTCCTATCTTATTTTACCAGGGTCCATACTCCTTTTTATGTACCATCTCACTCTTCTTCTTATAGCTGCAATCACGGTTTATCTCGCATGTTTCGCTTTTTTATCGTGTCATAATTGTGGCTTGGTTCTTGGACTAATTATATATATATTATTATTCTTTGTCTATGTTTTAAAATTATTCAACTTCTGTACTTTGTACATATTTAGTATTCTAAGTATTTTTTGTAAATTACTAGGTTGGGCGTAAGTTAATAAATTAATTAAAATAAAATAGGAAGAACTCTTCACCAGTAACACACTTCGTCAGCAATATTAGCTCTGTTTTTCTCTATCTATAAACAACTTGTCTACGAAAAATCTTGTTCCGATTTTCAAGTGTAGCATCTGTTATAAAAAAAAAAAAGTTCCCTCAGACGAAAAAATTGTGTTACAGGTCTATCAGTTCCGAGAATCCTAAGTTCTTACTTGTGGAAAGCTCCAAGTGAGCGATTCCAGGATAGCAGTACCTTTCAGAAACGAAGTGGAAGTAGCAACTTCTGGTATGGCTCGTTATCAGATTATTATGAATAAAAATAGATAGAATATATCGATGACGAAATCAAGAAGAAACTACCTCATTATATTTCGATATAAGAGCGATATAGTGGAAGTAGACTTTTGATAAGACAAAGCTTAGTCTTTAGTAAAAGAAGGAGACAAAATGAGCAAATTCTACGTAATCTATAATCTATAATATGTATAAAATAACATTTCCTGACTGACTGACTGATTTATCATCACTTAGCTCAAACCATTAGACGGATCGGGCTAAAATTTGGCACACAGATACCTATTATGACGTAGGCATTCGCTAAGAAAGGATTTTTGAAAATTTAATCCCTAAAGGGTAAAATAGGGGTTTTTATGTATATTTGGTACGAATTGCTTATTTATTTATTTTTGTTTATTCAAGGGTTGCCACGGAATAGAAAACTATTATTTATAATTATTATTACTATTATTTACACTATTCAAATTTCCCAATAGAACGCATTTAGTTTCCCGAAGGTAAACTACCCACTTTCTACATATTGGTTTTCATTCAATTCTAATATAGCCAAAACCAAAAATGAATATGGGTAATATAATAATAATACAAATTGGTGAGGGCAACGCCAGGCGAGGAACAGCTAGTAAATAAATAAAATTAATGTGTATAATCCACGAAAACACAATATTTTAAGGAAATGAATAATCTATATATTTTGGGAAACATTATTATTTTAAATCGATATTAATGATAATGATGACGATGGTGATGATAATGGTATAAAATAGGACGCACACGTGACCGATTTACATAATATTAAGCAGACTATTTTCGCTATGCATAAAATAATGTATAAAACACCGAAATCCACGCTGCAGTTTAATTGTAATTATAATACGATGTTCGCTAAATCACATGTTAAATAATATTACCTATACCAGATAAATTTATCTAAAAAATATATAGAATGATAGAATAATAAACTTATATTATATGCGAATATAGAACTAAAAAGTATCTATTATGGTTTTATTAGGACGAAAAATAAATAACAATATTATTTTTGGAATATTTAAGTAAAATGGTAAATTTGCAGAGAATGAAAATATAAATGTTCAAAATTAAAAATCTCTACATTGTAAAAAAATGAAAGTCATTTGTATTTAGTATCTACATGTGCAATTTTTAAATCAAGGGAAATCCCTTTCATCCCTTTAAATTCTCTTGTTAATAATGATAAGCAAATTATAAACATTATCATGTTGACATCTGGTGCACGTGCGAGTGTCCACTTCAACTTTATATAGTCAAAACGTCCTAACATCAGAGTATACTTATTCGATTTTGAACAGTTCCCAATATTATTCTGGAAATATATCACGCGGAAAGAGACCTGTAAATAACATCCTATCCGAAGGAAGACTAAACGTTTATACGCAATTGGCGTGATATATGCACGTCGGTAGATTATAATAATATATAGGTACGTCTCTCACCGACAGTCGTATTATTTCGTATGAATTCTCCGCTGAAAACGATCGGTCTACGTGTCGGGATAATAAGTAAACCTAGCTGGTTTAGAATATTGAATTTTCTACCGGCAACGCGGGCAGATGGTCAGGAACATGGAACTTCATTAAATGCGGAGAGGGATGGATTTCCCGGGAGAGCTAAAAATACGCACGTGGACCGAAACGGCACCGCGGAGAGCCGTGTTCGTATTTATTATTATTCAATTACGTTGTTCGAAAAACACGAGATGAAAACGACAATTGAGTAATAATTTAAAGAAGAAAATTGTTGCTGCATATTATAGAAATATACCTACATCAGAAATAAAATAGCGCGACGGAAAGTAAGTAATGGGAAAATTGTATTAAGGGTCATGCTCGTGGTTTTTTTTCAAATTGTTAATATCAATTACATTCAACAGTGTTAACATTTTTTAACAGAAAATTTAATCAGTTATTTACGTAATTGTTGTATTAAGGGGCCTTCGTACGATTTGGTTTTTGCTCAAAACACGGTTTACAAGGTAAACTCTCCTGTATCGTAGAAACGTCCGCTTTCATTAATTTTTTTTTGAGAAGAGGACACATTTCTACGGGAAGCAATGTAAGTTACTTATTCGCTCACCCACAACAGTGGCTGCACTCACATACGAGGTATGTCCATCTTTTTATTTGTATGAATGTTTGAAGTTCAAGTTTTTCGATCAATCATAAAATCATACAATTGTATACAGTTATTATTTGAGATATTTATATTACCTCGTTGAAAACACGTATCGGTTGCACTATCAGTACCAAAATGCGCCAAAGTAACAAAAATTGTAGGTATGCTTACTGATTAATACTATTTATTTATTTGAATGATAATAAACCTCGCGCTGGCTAATAATTAATGTTGGAAATAATATTAATTTTGTTTATTGTTAAGTGTATTTAATCGAATCGTAATAAATTATGTTTCTTAAATTTGTTTTATTCATTGTAGTTTTTAAATTTTTAATTTTGTGGATTTTTTTTTTATCATTTCTTTAACTTATTTAATAGTTTTTAATTAATTAATTAATTAAATATTCTTCATCGATAAAATAGTAGTGTTTTTTTTTCCTCCGGTTTATTTACACGTTAACTCTTCGAGCCAAGATTGATAGTAGCTGCGGATGACTTCAAAGAACGAGAATCGAGATTCGGCGATCGTATTACATTATAGAGTGTAATATTATTGACTTAAGGTATGGTTAAGATAATCGACACAGTAGATTAGGCTTACTCAAGGACACCACTATAAAAAAAAGCCTGTGCAATACCTCATACGCTTTTTGAATAACGTCAAATGTTCGTAATAATATTTCATTGGCATTTTTCGATAGGCAAGGTGGTGCGGAAAATTGCACACGGGTTTTATCTGTATCTTTATTGTAATCATTCAATAAGATTCGATATAAGCATTGTATATTTTCTTTAGTAATATTTTTTTTAAATATTGTACCAATTTACCTGTTTTTCTTACGTTTATTCAGGTTTTCTGATGTTTTCCTCTGGATTTTGCTATTTGATGAGAAAAATCGTGAGAAAATCCAAAAATATACCTTTAGTACCTTCCCAATCCGATTTCAATTACTATTATACATTAATTTACCTATAACAGTGGCTGCACCCGTCTCCATTATTCTAGGACAGCTTTTTACACACCATTTTTTTATTTTTATCGTTTTTGAATTGGGGTTGCTAAATTAAAGTTTGGGAGTACTGAAGCAACCCCAAGCACCCCCTAGTTGTGTCCTATATCTGGTATTATCAATGCATATTTTTCGTAATGAATGATAACCACAATCATTGTTTTATTATTTGTATTATTATTATTATTATTTTTATTAGCCAAATATCATACATCAAAATTTTCTCCACAATTTATCACCCCTTAAACTTTTCGAGCCCAAGCTTCTATCCTCCCAACCTCTCTTAACTACGTATCTGTTTACGGCATTAACGATTTCAATTCGAAAATCAAATTTTAACGAAAATCGTAAAGAGAACGGCATTTCCACAATACAAACAAACTTTGCTTAAAATTGTTTTTCATTAGCAATAGTTTATCGTTGCATATACAGATAGAAAATAATTAACTTTACGTTTCCTATTTGCCAATATTCCAATTACAATAATGACACACCCATCCCCAGTATCAGCTCTTTTATTTGTCTTCATTCATCTCGCGATAAAGGTATTCCGGATTTCCACGATAATGACTCTCTAGTTGAGTTTTGAGCAGCTATTATAAGATATTATCCATTTTATAAAGTAGTGTATTTAGTATGGATTTTAAGAAAAATCTAAAACACGCATATTTTGTTAGAACATGAAAATATTAAACGTAGGAACTATTTATGGTAAATAAAAAAAAAAATAAAATATTAAATAGGTACACATCTTTATAAAATATATTCCAGGTCTGTGTGTCATAAACTCAACTAGAGAATTACAGTTGTGGACATGTAGAATTTCTATGTTGGTATATCACGTGCAAGATAACCAGAAAAAACAAATTTTAGTGACGAGGCTCCCGAGTTTAGACGGTTGTAGCCTTGTAGGTGCGTACTATATTTTAAAGTATCATATTATAAAACCACATTAAATGCAAAGTAAAGGATTAATTTTCACTGGGAGGGGGGAGGGGCTAATGTTGTGCTGTATAAATAATATATATTATAGTGTACAGAGTCAGCCGGAAACTTTTACAGCCGTTATTCAAACGATAGAAGACAACGATTTAATAATATTACATATTATTGTTCACATTATGGCAATGTGGGGTATTTTGAAATTATATATATATATATATATATATATATATATGCACGTTGTATACCTAAAATCGGACTAGTGTATACTGTATATATATTCGGAATATTATAATTTATTAAAACATTATTATATTATTTCCCTTGTTTAATTTTTAATTAAAAATACAAAAACAAAACGTAGGTATAACCTACGTCGACTCGAAGTCTGAAAAATATAGTAAAACCCATAAAACATAATCTACATTATGCGTATTTAAATATACTACCGCGCGTTATTTCATTAATAATAATAATAATAAAAAAAAAAACCTCTATCATAAAAATATTTTTAAAAAATAGACAGTATTGTAATAATTAGAATATATTACATAGTTACGTTTGACTGTAAGTTTTTATCAGGTTAATCTACACGAAAAATTTACGTTGGCGTGTATTTAACCCATTTAAAAATTTAACGCACCCCCCCCCATTAAGCATTCGAATAGTATATTTTCGTATAGTTTATTAATTTATTTATTTTGAATGTGTAATAGTAATGTTAACTCGAGTAAACAATATGATATTTTTGTTGTTTATAATGAATATTATTGTAACATACAGGGCGGTTCCCTAAGCGCGTTCACCAAAATTTATTTAAAATAATACTTCATCTATTTATAGAAATTTTAATATAGGTTTCCATTTGAAAAACCAAAGTTAGTGTCGTCACAGGACACTCCTTAATACTGTGTAAAATCTAAGTATTAAAAAATATCGAATTTAACTACACATAAAAATTCCAAAAATCAGAATTTGAATATAATATGCAAAATTTAACTAAAAAAATGGGGTGAGCACGCTTAGTAAATCATCCTGTATTATTCATAGGTAAAAAAAAATATTTTATGGCAATACAATCTATTTATTGTAATATACCTGATACTGATCGAACACTAGATCTGCTATACGAGATGATATTTGGTCACGAACCAGCTTATCTACCAGATTATTCAAGTAGTTTTTGAGTAAATTTAATTTTTGGACTTTCCAGAAATTCTAGAATCCTATGTTTAATATATTTTCAAAATCATGTTCGAATATAGGGGTTCGAAAATATGATATTTAAAAACCATTAGTCGATACGTGTTTATAATCTCATAAGGATTAAGGGTAACATGCTGTAACCGTTTGTAAATAGTTACGGATTTTCCTATAATTCTAGATCACTTTGTATAATATATTTCGGTTGTTCAATCTTTAGAAATCAATTTCCTTTTTTAATAACATTTTAATATTTTACGTATATTTTTCACTTAGCAAGAAAATGTTAACGTAGATAAAATACTCATCAATAGAAAATTGTTTTAATGAATTTAGTTTTTTTTTTTTTTTTTGTTACTGTTGTCAAATTGTGTGAAAATAATATGATATGTATGTCTGTAAAGTTGGCACTGGCACATTATATACTAGGGCTCTAGAACTAGTATAAATATTTTGTTAGGACATTTTTGAATTTTGCTAGGACCCCTATCGCTTCTATATATTAAGAGCGAACTATAGATTTAATATAGATTTACATTTTACATAATCTCAAGTACCTATTTTTAACTAAAAAGAATGAATAAAACTAGAGATACCTGATTATTGCGCCGAAATAAACAAAATTTATTTATCTATATTTTATTTTTTTAAAAATTAAGGTGATCATGTAATCATAAATAATACACACCTGCTAAGTATTATAGTTATGAATTTTAGCTATGTTATAAAACGTAGTATAGATAAATAAAACAAATTCTTGATATATTAAAATAATATATTTTAATATATTTTATATATAATTTTAAGGAAATCATATAATTTTTCTTTCTGCGAGTGATATTTATCTATATAGATATTAGGTTATACTTGTTTAACATTTTTTTTTTTTTTAATTAAAACAAATTTAATAACTTATATACTATGACATTAAGTAAGGACAGTAAGGTTATCTTATTACGTTCCAAATACAATTTGTTCAATGATTCGGATATAGAGTAATATTATTTTATGGGTTCAGTGTAATAATCAGGTATTTTCGGAATACTATAACGGCATATTTTTGTTTGGAATCGGAAGATGTGTCAGTGATGACGCACAAATTTGGAACCTCTCCTAGAAGTGATAAGGGTCCTAGCAAAATCCGAAAAAGCTCTAGCAAAACCTAGCAAATTGATATAAATATTTCGGCATATTTTTTATAAGATACATGCCGGTGTAGCCACCAAGATAGCACCGGCATGTTTGTTTGTAGATTTCCGATGTTTGTGAGCCCAAGCAAAATCTAAAAATTTCCTAGCAAAATTTATCAAATTACTTAAAAAATATCGATACTAGTTGTAGAGTCCTAGCATAATGTGCCAGTGCCAACTTGGCGGACATATGATATGTTA